AAATGAGTTTTTAGATGAAATCTTGATAGGAGTGAGTTGTTGATGTTTGAATCAGATTTTTGACTTATCAATAAGCTAATTAAGAAGTATGAAGTAATAGAATTGAAATTAGAACAAGTTGAAATTGGAGTAAGATTCTTCAATTCTATATGGATGAGGAGTTTTCTTAGTTTTAGAGGTATTGAATGGTTAATAATTAGTTTAAGTAAGTGTATGAGAGCTAAGAGTGTTAAAGGGATTGAAATAAGTATGTTTGAGCTGAAATTAGATGATTTCCGGGCTCAAAATAGGATTTCTGGGTTAGGGGAATCGGTACCCATTCAAGGGGAACCGATACCCCTTCAACGAAATGAATTTCCAGAATGCAAGAGGGGAATCGATACCCCCAGGGGGGGAACCGATACCCCCTCATCGTATAAGAAATTCCAGAATGCTTTAGGGGAACCGATACCCCAGGGGGGGGAACCGATTCCCCCAGAAAAAGAAGAAGAAAGAAAATAAAGCAAGACTAAGCTATAGATTCTTTTAATTAGTAAGCTATTAAAGCTTAATTTCAAGACATAGACATCTGATGATCATCTTGAAAATTATGTTTATGTAGATACCGAGCCTACTCGAGTTCGGGAACAATCTACAAGTAGGATCGATCAAGGAAAAGGCAAAGAAGTATAGGTGAGTGCATATGCATAACATGAATATAGTAGTATGTTCAGTTCTAGACTTGTGATAAGTCTAGATTCCATATTTTGACATATGATTACATTCCATATTATGATACATGACATGAATTTGTATTAAATGTATTACATGACATGAATTCATATTATACGTATTACATGACATGAATATGCAGAAAAAGTTATATGCACTATGTGATAAAGGTATGTAAATGATATGCCTATGTGTTAAAGTTATGGAAATACTATGTCTACGTGATATGAACTACGGGAAATGTATAAGCCCATGTTATGTAGATGAGAACTATAGGTATAGTTGGCATGCCAAGGGTAGAGGGTATACTCGGTTCTTTAGGACACATATATATCCTTTGGAACCTGTGTGAAGTCTTGAAAGACACATACTTGATCCATAGTATATGTATATGATTCTTAAGGAATTCTACGTGGTCCTTATGGACATAATTCTACGGGCACTTCGGTGCAATTCTACGGGCACTTCGGTGCAATTCTACGGGCACTTCGGTGCATTTATACGAGCTGTGGTGACAGCATAGTGCACAACCTCACATTACTCAAATACCTTAGGTTCTCAATATGCTATCATGGGCCAATAAACTTATTAATACAGAATAATGAATGTTACAGTCATACGCTTACAGGTATGGATATTGATGAAGTATACTATATTGATTAAGTACATGTGTGCATCTCATATCATATGATCCTGACATTTTCATTACATTACATTGCCTTATTATTATTGCCTCACTAAGTCGATGACTTAGCGTGTGAGTGTTTCACACGTAGGATCCGGGAAATTAGAAGAGACAGGTGAAGCAGCTTGACAGTATTACTCCTGCAACCATCAGATCAGAAGCAACTTAATCAGTAGGTCATTTTGTGATGTAAATAGCAGTTGGCATGTAATTAAAGGGTTAAGTTGTGTATGCTCTGAATATTTTTTTGTAAACTCATATTACAGTATGTATATTATTGTATTTTCTTAATACAAGTTCAAATATTTTACTATTATTTATTAAGAGTTGTGTTTTAAAGTCAATGTAGTATCTCTGACTCATATCCGGGTCGGGTATGGGTTGGGGGTGTTACAGTATCAATGCCCCCTGATTGGTATTGGCTAATTGGTTAAGGTAGTATCGATAGTCTATGTTGAGTATTGATACTCTGGTGCTAGGGTATTGATACTTGCTTGAGTATCGATACCAAAATTAGGTTTGATGTTTTGAAAATTCCCCCAGTATCGATACCCCTACCTTGGTATCGATACTCTATGTGAGTACCGATACTAAATTTGTATTATGGATTGCTGGTCTCGATACCAGCCCTACCAGTATCGAAACCGAGGTCCCAATATCAATACTTCTTTGGTGAGTATTGATACTACCCTTTAAAACTTGCCTAATTTTTGCCTGAATGATGACTAGTGTCGATAACCTTACTACGAGGTGCCCTGTTCTTTCTACCCCAAAAGCCCCATTGAGGTCCCTAACTGATGTTTAAGTGTTTTATCTGTTATTAGGGGTCATAAAGAGTCTGTAATCATGCAGAAAACACCCAAACAATGCAATCTACCATGATCATGCTTCAAGCTTATGCAACCTACCAAAACTCATCTAATGAGTTACATGTGCTAGAGTTGAGTTAAAACTGAGTTACCTATTGATTCTAAGCTGTTAAGAGTGTCCAAAGATCAACCCAAGGTGAACTTCTCCTTCCCCTTGCTTTGCAGCTTTCTCCAACTCCTCTCACTAAACAATAACCAAAGAATGAATTACTAGCTGAATGTAGAGGGTAATGAAGGTTTAAAAACACTTCCTAAGGCTAAAAATCACTGAAAACGGATTAAATCCTCTGAATCTCTTAAACCCCCCACAAAACCCCTTTTTGCAAACCATGGCCAAAACTTACTCTTTTTGTCTCAAATGGAAGCTCTAGAGGTGTTGAGTTTGGTTCTTACCTTTGAATTGTGAAACAAGGGTTGCAAGTAACCAAGTTATCACCTTTAATTTGCCCAACTTGAAGGAAGAAGAAGAAAGAAGATGAGAATTTGGAGAGGAAGAAGAGACAAAGAAGAGTTAAGAAAAAAAGGGAGAAGTCAGACGTGAGATCACCCAAAATAATGGGTATTAAGCCTTTCAATTGGTCTAATTACTCCCTTGGTCCTCTTGATTTTGGTTGCAAACTAAAAATGCCCTTTTTACTCTCTATTGGGCTTAATCCAAAACCATTTCAACTTGGGTCAAAGCTTCCTATAAGCTAAGGAATTAATTCAAGGTCCAACTCGAGTTAGTCAAAAACTCCTAACACGGGATTCGGGGCGTTACAGTTTCTTCCCAATTCAGGTTAAAACATCTTAGCTCATCAAAAAATTTATTTTGACGGTAAAAATGGGTGGAAAAAAATATGGGTTTACGATAAGTAATCATACAGATTATTATGGGACATGTTTAAGAAGCATCATGGGAGATATAAAGGAAGGGGACACCACATGCTCTGTTCTCAATTTGCATACAAAAACAAAAAATGAAGCTCAACTCTTTTTGGTTTAAAATAATGTCACAATAACATGCCACCTTAAGTTAACAATTTGTCCTAAATGTTACACATGTGATGTGTTATTACTTCATAATTGTGAAGCTTTTGGCAACAGAAAGAAGAGTTTGATAAAACGGGTAATTCATAGCAATAATCTCGACAGAAACTGGGCATAAAAGATGGCGAAACAGTTTGTCCTTACTAGGCTTTGTGCTAACCTGTAGCTATTTCCTATCCCTTAATACAAGGGTAACTAAAACATAGTATTATTTTTTTTATAGAAAGTAGATAGTTTTATTAAAAATAGAAAAATATCCAAAATTATAATGAAGATATACAAGCATAACCATAAATCTAAAATATAATTACGACATTTTCCTATTACTATTGAGACAAAAACTAGTCACCTATATCACATAAGGACCAAAGAAGGAAACATATAAAAAATCTAACAAAAAAACTCGAATAAAATAAAGAAACGAACAAATCTGGCTGCATCGATAAACGAACCACAAAATGGGATGAAGCTACTGAAAGACTATAGACAAAGCGCAAATCAGAGTCAAATAACGTGAGAAAACTATCCACGAACGCAAAACGTGTATCCAAGTCAATCTGAGGGTCCAAAGTAGGGAAGATCATCATGATAACAAATAAACGTCATCTTGATCAGTCGTGGCGATGTCAAATCTAATCCTGAGAAAAAAGATAAACAAAAACATGATCATCATGATAACAAATTTGTAATCACTTTAACTAGTTTAATCAAAAAGATATTAAAGAATATTTCAAAATTTTCGAATGAGGATTTTTTACACTGTAACATGAATTTAGTTTATTTTCTTTAGTAAACTAACATTTATCATAATTAAGATATTATTTTAGCATAGTAAATCCCAAAAAATATGTTAAAAATAATTTACTTTTAATTTATTATTAATTTATACATAGACACTTTAACATATAGTTAAAGGCTTTTAAAAGTTACAGAAAATTAATTTAAAAAAAATCATTGATAATATATATATATATATATATATGATTTAATGAACATGTTTAAGATTTTTTTTAGGACGAAAGTTAGGGTTTGAAAATAATCGATATATAAGTCATAAATTTGACCAAAACCTCTGAAATCATCCACCTTTGTATTCCTTTATTGGTTCACATCCATCCCAGTGACGGAGCCATTTGTTGTGTGGGACCAAATTTTTTTTAATTAATTACTTTTAAATCTTTTAAATTTTAAAATTAAACTCAATTTTTTATATATATTTAAATCTTAAATTGATAGTTTAACTATTAAACTATGACATTTATTTCAGCTATTTATATGTAATTGATTTTTCCTAAACTCGTATTATGATAACATATATGTAAGTTTAGTATGGGATATTATGCGAGTATAAAAAAACAATAATCTTTTTTGAATAGATAAAAAAAACTATAATTTAAAGTGTCTTATTTAATCTATATATTTTTTAAATATCACAGTACGTAGCAAATATCATTTGTGAAGTTTACATGCAATCTAATGTAGGCATAATTATGATAGAATAAAGGGTGGGAAGTAACGTTGAGAAGATCAAAGTAATTCCCACATCATTATAATGATTATTTGGTCTCCCATATTTTCAACAAACTAATCCGACTCCTAATTCAATTCACAACCCTTTTTACCCTTAGATGATTGAAACTTACCTTTGATCTTCATATGCAGATTTTGATGGACAAAAAATGAAGGGAGATCAATAGATATTTGTAAGAAACTAAAAAGAAGTAGAAATGGAATAACTTTAGCTGTTGAGATATACGATACGATAGATTTATTGCTTAGCTAGTTTAATTTAATCAAGCACTCCTGCATCTCCTCTTGAATTTGAGAGAACCACCAAAGGTAAATGGGTCCGAGTTGGATCGGAAAAACGACTCTAACTCTTCCCTTCTCGTGGTTTCGAAGAAGTGCAACTCTGATAGCTTCCTCTTCAGCCCAAACTTTGCTCTCACTTTCTTCTTCGGCGTCGGCGGGCAGCTTTGAATGCTGGCTATTTTCTGATCACTCGACGTTGGCGTTTTGCACTCTTCTTCTTTTACTCCATCGTTTTCAATCCCTCCTTCTTCTTGTCGTTGTTGGTTGTCGTGCTTTTGCAGAGTTTCTTGAAGAATATTTCCACGGTGATCCTTGGACATGGAGATGAAGATAGGTTATTGGGTCGAGAGAATTTTTTTTTTAATTTGCGGCCCCTTGTTTCTTTCTTATCATTTTTGAAACATCATATATATGTATGTATACACAAATTTGGCACCTTCATTTGTTTATATTTTGTTTTTCACGCTTTGTATACCCTTTCTTCCACGTTATTTCTACCTTTGGAATCAACCATTACAGCTTCTTTCTAATCACGACAAGACTGTGATCATAATGTAATGAATGTTCCACTAAAAGTTAATGCAATGAAAGGGAAACTTACAACATTATAAACAGGTAGCACGAATCCCGGAAACGAATGGTTATAAATCGACATCTATTAAGATCAGCCTGTAACTCTAGTTTCAGTGTAGATGGAAATGTATAGAATAATTATCATCGATTGTAATGTGATGGAGAAAAATAAGATTATGGCGTGTCTCTGTCTGCACCTATCATATCAATGTATCCCTCTTGCGCTTGTCTGCATGTACAACTACGGGCATTGGCATTGGATACCGTTTCATAATTCCACCCTTGACAGAGACATTTACACAATTATTCCCCCTCCCCCCATCTCCTCTATTAACTTATACCCTATACAAAATCTCACTCCACCACCGTTTGTAACTGTAAATATTATCCTTTTCACCATTGGTGACTGCAAAAAGTAAAGAAAGAAACAATTTTATAAATGTGTAAGACAGAAGGGAATTTAGGGGCAAAGGGTACTCATAAATAAGCACTTTCCTTCTGTCTTCTTTGTTAAACATATTTTTGTTGTCTTCTGTTTTTTTTTTTTACTTTTTAAGATTGCACCAAAAATTTGAAGGGTACACATGAAAATGTACAAGATTGTGTTCAATCACTTCAATGTAATTACTTACCACTGTGATGGATGGGATGCAGCCAAGTCCGGAAGTTGAGGCATTGGTCCCAGAAGGAAGGCCCCTCGCTAAACTTTAAATCATCTATTTTATTTTTGTTTCACATATTTGACTTTTATTCTATATATTTATGCTTGGTAATAAAATAGTTATTGATATTTTTTAGGATTTGGAATTTAAGGCCATGAATATCATGAGTACGAGTGTTCTTTTCTTGAATAATTTGATGTAAGCATAGAGTAATATTTGTTCAAAGATAATTCTCAACCATTTGACATTAAACGCTAAAACTCCTGACATCCTTGGTGTTTGAACTTAGAACCTCAAGGAATAACAATAATTCATTTATCACCGAGGTCGCTTAATTCTTATAGAAAACTTTGGCATTTTCAATGAATATTGGGATTGCAGAGATTTCAGGAGATTAGGGTGGTGGTCGGTCAGGGGCGGTCGACAACGGGTACGCAGATGGTCGACGACAGTAATAATGACCTAGATTATCAACGATGACGGCAACTAACATGGGTAGAAGGGTTTAGAGCTATGATATTTTAAATTTTTGGGTTTCAGAGATAAAAGAAAGTTTTAGGGTTTTTAAAATAAAAATTACAATTTTCAAAATTTTAACTTAAATGAAATTTTATAAATTTTATAAACACACATGTTAATTAACCATTTTTTGTAATGATTGTTATCATATAAACACTTAAATAATAACATTAGACATTTAAATTGAACAAAAAAAATGTAAACACCTAAATAGAAAAAGAGGAATATTACAAACATGTTTTCATATCAAGTCTTTTCTCAAGTCATATAGAATGATTTATTCTTTTCGATTTAAATTAGAGTAATAATATTTATAAAAATAAAATAAGATATTAGTAATTTAAAATATCGAAAGAAAATTGTTACTTAACATCATGTATTGCTTCAAAATTGCATTATCAAGGTAAACACAGGCATTACAAAGACAGTTAAGATATACAACCTTAATTGCACTCAATGTAATGAAAGGGGGATCAAGGGACACCATTGGATATACATGATTTTGTTACAAAGAACCCCCCCCCCCCAAAAAAAATAAAAATAAAAGATAATTCTTTTATCAGTGTGAAACTTTACACTTTAATTTCAGGGTTGACTACATACCGGCTCATTCAATATTTTCCAGAACTCGCAACCTGGTTTTTCTTTTCCAACCTTTAATTGAAGCAACGAGGTTTATCAATCCCGCGATCTGATCCTTGCTGAATTCCTGCACCGCCAAAGTTATTATTCTCAGGTTTCCATGACGAACAAACGAAAAAAGGATAATAAAAGCAACTGCTATTCTGCTGTAGTGAGAACATTTCTTACGGGGTGAGCTCGTGCCCAGTGTACGTATTCAGTCTCAGGGAGATAATAAGCCTGTTAAGAGAACGATCGAACTTAATCCTCCATATACATATCAAAATGAATGGAGGAATAAATTTTTGCACCAATTTCTGAACCGAACATGTTAACCATGGAGTTACCTTGATGAAAGTTTCAACAATCTGTAACTTTGGCTTCACGTTTAAGGAGGCAAACTGTTGTAGCCCATTGATTAAAACCTGAATGGAAAAAATAGTAAAAGAGGTCAGCTACAAGAACAGATACAGGTACAACTAACTTGCACTGAACATGTACACCAACTCCAAGGGCAGTTCATCTAGGAATCGCAAAATCAGAACTATCTGATGGATTCCGAATCAATCAGTTCCAAATGAAACAGATTTTCCTTCTTGAAAAGTAGACGAGAGCAGGACGGGGTGGATTTTCTTTTTTCTGAAGAGTGGCCATGGAACGGCTATAGAAAATGCATGCCCAGCTTCACCATGCTTGCTATATGAAATTATTATTTTACCCTCATTATACGTATGCAAGTATTAAATAGGTAAAAATATAAAAACGTGCTATACAAAAAACCCTAAATTCTTTTATACTTCATATTTCATGTTTAAACAATTGTGAATATATTTTATTCTTTATGCTTAATTATTTATTTAAAAAAAAATTATACTCGTATATTAACTTGCCTTTTAAAAAATAAGAATATTAGAAATAACTAGAAAAAAATCAAATAGACGTGGAATGTGCAGGGATGGATTCATCCAACATCGGAGGTGGTAGAGATTTTCTATATTACACAACCATAGTGGAGCGGGCGGATGATTAAGCATTTCATGCCAACTTTGGAGCATTGGGGGATTTGGCAACATCCACCCTTGTCCCACTCCATTTCCATTACAAAGTTCATCCAGCATCAATGAAGAGCAATATGCAAATGATATCACATTGATTAATTCTGATACCTAGCTCAATTTAACAGGATGGAGTATCAACTTACCTCTTTCTTAATTCCTCCATGGCCAAGCCTTGTTTTGTAGTGCTTAAATTCTCCCACCAACAAATCCACATGCCTATTCATTAGACAAATTACATCGAAGAGCTTGTCAAATAGAGGTCATGGATCTATTTAAGCAAAGATGATAACAAGATCTACTACCAAATATGAGACGACAGACCCGGAAAAAGAAAAACGAAACCAAAGACTTGTAAAGAAAGAGGACAATAGCACGAGAACAAACCCATTGTGCTCCATGTCAAGCTCTTTCAATTCCCGTTTAGCATTAGCAATTCGATCAACATACCTGCCAAAAATTCAGATTTTATTATGAGAATAACCTAGACAATGGACAGAGGGAAATTCATGGCATGCTAGTAAATATTTGCTTTCCTTTTGCTTTCAACCAGTCAATCACAGAACAAAAACTAATCATTATTACAGATCTTCTACAAGGTTTTTATTTCTACTGTCAACGGATTTCTGCCGTGGAAATGGAGGGAAAGAGGACATAAAGTGTTCTATATATATAGGGGATGAATCTACATACAGAATGTAAAAATTAGTGTTGCATAACTTTGACCATTAGATCAAGATTAATTTATGGTTGAGATTAAAACATATCTTTTTTTTATATATATATTTTATATTTTTCATTCTTGCTAAAGCATAAAAAAAATCCTTTTCTTTTCTTTTTTTTGCACAAAAAACTTTCTTTAATTCTTTTCATTACTGCATTTTTTTTCTTTTTGGGTTCCATTAAAATTGATTGATGACTCGTACGATAAGAGAAAAACATAAAAACCATTCCAATCGGTAAAATACAATCTCTAGTCATCATAACAACCAATTAGCAGACTGATTAGTCTCCTTGTAAAATAAATTTACATTTGTAAAATTCTTCTCGAGTTTTAAGTTCTTATGATAGTGGAAGTAGTAAATATTGGCAGCTACTGCCATTCTTCTCGAATTGAAGCTACCAGTTATGATTCCTCCTCCAATAATTAACTTGAAGTCTCTTGCAATACTCAAACTTGAGGGGGATTTGGTGTCTGTTTTTTTGTGAATTACCAAAATAGTTATTATTTTGATCTAAAGTTCTCCTTATCATTTCTATGGAAAATTATCCTTTTCAACTGTTGCATTGAAAAGGAATACATTATTTAAAATGTACTTTCCACCGATCTTTGTTCACTCATTGTATTCTAAACTAAAACCTTATACGGTTGAATTCCAGCATCAAGAAGCTCAATTATAATGATCCTACCTTTTAATTCAACACCAGGAGATTGCAATAGAAGGATTTTTTTTTTATGTTCAACAAGAACGAAAAATAGAATAGATAAAAGAAATAAGTGTTTTAATCTCAACCATAAATTAATCTTGATCTACTTGTAAAAAATGTGTAGAACTAACGAGTGGTACATTACGTAAGTGAATCCATACTCATATATATACATATAAGCCAAAAACTTGTCACGTGTTATAACTTTAAGGGTTAACTACACATCATTTATATTTGTGTTTTATCCACGTTTGGTCACTTATTTAAAAAAATATAAGATATGATCACTTTCATTTTTATTTAATTAAGATTTGATCACCTCGAGTTAACTGCCGTTAACAACAGTTAAATATTTTGATATAATCATACATTTTATCTTTGTTATTTACATATTCTCTCACTTTAGTCATACTTTTAATAAATTAAAATAAATTTAATCCTCTAATCGAATGATGTCACATTAAGGAAATGATTCAAACCTTAGGGCAAAAAGGATTCAAACCTTGGTCACCTAGGAAACTAAACATGTATCCAACCATTAAGCCAAGACCATTGCTTGGTCTAAAGTAGACAACATGGAGTATATATTTTGTATCTTAGTGTATAAATACTTAAATTCTTAATATTTTATATATATTAACTTAAAAATATTTTTATATTAACTTATTAAATATATTTTATTATTAACTTAATTTAAAAATATTTTATTTTTATTTAAAAATATATATTTTATGTTAAAATTTATTTAAAAGTATAACTAAATTGAGAGAATATGTAAATGACAAGGGCCAAATGTGTGATTATATCAACTATCATGTCACATATTCTGTTAATTGTTAACAACAGTTAAGCCGTGATGACTCTAGCTTAATTAAATAAAAACTTAAGTGACCATATATTAATTAAATAAAACTGAAAGTGATCATATCTTATGTTTTTTGAAATCAGTGACCAAAAGTGGACAAAACACAAACATAAGTGACCATTAATGTAGTTAACCCTAATTTTAATTGGCTTGGCAAGTGAAACTAAATTCTACTACCTTATTCCAAGTCAGCCAGACACCGCAAAATATAGTCACTAACAACTGGTTTTCATGGATTGATGGATCACCTCCAATCATCAAATTTAACAAGAATGGATAGCCAAATGTCCTGAGCCAACCTTTAAAGTTTAATATCATGTCGTGAATTTTTGTTTACTCTCCTACTCATTTCCTGCAACTCACCATTTTGGAAATTTCAACTGTTTCAACACTTCTTTTTCCTTTTTTACTTCATATTTTTTTTCTTCCTTCGTTCGATTAAGTCAAGAGAGGGATTTTGTTTATGGAAAAAACTATTCAGCAAGTTGGGTAGCTACAAGGTTGAGTGAAGGGAAAAAAAGGACCTAGAACCAGTCCTAACATTCACAAGATTATAGACACTAATGCATGCAATAACATCAACCGCTAAAAATTTTGTGCCTTATGCCTTGCTTTTGGTTGTCCTATGCATGTGTTCTATCAGATCTGGCACTGCATCCACCTGGCAGTAAGGATGAAAGTAAACTTAATATCATATCATCAGGAAAAGTAAAATTCAAATATACAAATCATAATATTTACTTGATAAGAAAAAAAAATACTAAATTAAAAAGCAATAATGAATTTTATAAATTAAAATATTAAAAATATGTTCCACATAAATCAGGCAAAAGTAAAACATATGTGTGCATGTCTGAAGGAGGGAGCAACTTAGCTTATACTATCAGATATGACACTGCATCCACCTGGCAGTAATGACGTTGGTCGATGCCTTACATCGTCTAACGCGACAAGGGAAGACGGATATTAATTGGGAGGTGTATCATGTGGATTAGGTGATGCAGTTGATGTTGAGGTTTGTTAGACAACCCGTTTCTGAACCCATTTTGACATACGGTGTTTCAGATGATTACATGTTGTGGTACGAGCAAAATGGGATGTCGCATATTCTGACCGATTAGGAGCTAGCGCGAGATATTTATAGGCCTCCCCAAAACCATCTGCCCGCGCAACGTCCCCGGCATAACATTGGCCAAGTCGGGGTAGACAAAAACATGCTCAAGTCTCATCATCGGGAACGACACAAGCACCTACAGAGCATTAGACACTGCTGACGACACCTACATTCACCAACTCGACTCAGTCTGCATTTCAGTATATGGTGACTCCATCATCATTTCAGCATACGATGCTATCGACGGAAGGTTTCTTCGCCGACGCATTTTGTAACACCCCTGACTCGTACCCGACTTAGATACGAATCCGAGGTGTCACATTTGACTTTTCAAAACATACGAAATTAAAAAATAGGAATAAATTATAATCATTTTAAATAGAAAATTATTTTATATAAAATCTTAATAATTTACATAGATATCCAAAATTAAGAGTTTACAAAATCGATCAAAGCATTTCAAATTAAAAGTATAATACATGCCAATAGTTTACATAATTTACCCAAAACCGACATTTAATTTGTTCTGATTTGATCTTCTGGTGATATGTTATCCTTCACCACTTAGTCCTCTGCTTTCTTCAAACCTACGCGTGAGAAAATCACACGCTAAGTCGATTACTTAGTGAGGCAATAATAATAGTGCTAACTTATTACCAGAAATCATATTTGTTTTATTCAAAATGTTTTGCACAAAACTTTCTTTATTTTCATATCAAAGGTATACTAATGAATAGTTACACTTTGTATGTCTTTATTTCAAGTGTCCAAGGTATACTACTGAGAACTCTATGTATCTGAGTACTATGAGGTTGTGCACTAATGTTGTCACCACAGCTCGTAATTTGCACCGAAGTGCCACATATTTATCCCGGAAGACCACATATTTGTCCCGAATGACCACATAAGACCCTCGACTCTTGGCATGTCAATTATACCTCTAATCCTCATACATATATTTTAGGTTGTTAATCATATAATATTGTTTAA